ACATAACAAGCCTCTTTAAGCGTCCAGCCATATCTTACTCTCATACGTATTAGGCTGGTAGAAATGCCATTTAGTTTAGCTTGATTAACATATTCATCAGGAATTTCATATTCTTCGCCCTCAATAATTATCGTGTTTACCATCAACTATACCTCCAGTCCATAATTTTCAATTTGTCGAATTCTATAAATTGTCCATCTAAGTAATCGTTTTTGTGATTTTCCATATCGTGCTCAATATATTCAGTTAAGTCTCTATTCTCGTTATGATCATGAACAGGTATTTCTACTTGTCGTTCAAACGTTGCGTCATAACGGATTGTGATTGTTTCCATTTTCATCTAATCACCTCTTAGCTTTCTTGCGTTCGCGTCTCACCTTGTTCAATTCTTCATACGTTACCCAGTCTTTACCTGTGTACTTAGGTGCTTTACATATCCAAGTAAGTTTTACATTGGGATATAGATATCTAAATAACTTCGCCTTTAACTTAGCCGTTTCTGTCGCCATGCCTTTAACGTCTATGACTTCAATCAACTTGTCGTTATTCCATAGTGCAAAGTCTGCAATATATTCAGTTTTACGTTGTTTACCAAATTTAGGTATTAGCTCATATCTCGGTTGTATCTCGATATAGTCATAACCATCTATAATTAATCGTTGTTCTAAGTACTTGTAGTAATCACATTCAACTTTGCTATCGAACGTTATACCTTTATACTCAACTTTCTTTGCATTGTATTTACTCAAGTGCGCCACTCCTATAAGAAATCAAATATATTCGTTTCTTCAATTCGGTTTAGTTTGTGTTCTGATTTAAAATTCTCTAGCTCGTTATCATTCATTCGCAGCATGTCTTTCTTAAACCAAATGATATTCATACCATCACCAATTGGCTTAACTGAACCAACATCTTTTCCTTTCGTATCTACCAATCTATATTCGTCCATCTGTCTGACCACTCCATCTCATTGAATATCAATTCTTTGTTATCGTCGTATGCGTCATATGGTGTTATTTGCCCTTTAGCAAGCAATCTCTCTGTCGCCCAACCTAATTCAAGTAAGTTAGCTTGAATGACCGTATCGTCTTTATATGTTTCTCTGTAGAGATATCCTAGTAGCTGTTGAAATTGTGCTACACTCATGTGAAAAACCTCTGTGTTTTCTTGTAAAATTCAAATTCAATAACACCAGTTTCACCATCTTTGTTCTTGGCTATATTACATTCAACGATAGATTTACCAGATTCATCTGCTTCATCTTGTTCGTAGTAATCATCTCTATACAACATCATCGCCATACTTGCGTCTGCTTCAATTCCACCTGACTCTTTCATGTCTGATAACATCGGACGTTTATCGTTTCTTGATTCAACTCCACGATTCAATTGAGAAAGAACTACTATAATTGCTCCTGTTTCATTTGCTATGATTTTCAAGTCGCGTGATATCTTTTCAACTGCAACGCGTCTATCAACATTAGTATCTGTTTCCATTAATTGAAGGTAATCAATAAATATAACTTGTGGTTTGTCACTATGCTTCATCGCTTGTGCTCTAATGTCTTGTGGTGTTGTTGTGCTATCGTCATTAATGTTTATACCTAATTTAAGTATTTGATCTATAGCACCTGTTAAATCAGTTAATTCATTTGGCGTCAGGTCTTGAACATTTTTAATACGGTTTAACTCGATACCAGTGATAGTAGATAGCAATCTTTGTAAGATGTTTTTTCCAGTTGTTTCAATACTAAAGAATGATGTTTGGTGGCCTTGTTTTGCAATGTTCCACATCATATTTAATGCAAATCCAGTCTTACCGACACTTGGACGAGCAGCAATTACTATCAATTGACTTGGCTCAAAACCACCGATTTTATAGTCCATGAGTTTATATTTGGTTTTTACTCTTTGCACAGGTTCATCACTATATAAATCCTCAACTAATTGTTTAGCATATCGTTGAGTGCCATCCTCTTTTTTGGTTGTGATATTAGTTAACTCTTTAAGTTTCTCAACCATTTCATTAAAAGTTTCAGGTGTAGATAATTGTTTAAAATTATCAGTAAGTTCATTCGCTTTAATAATTTGATAGTTTTGTAATAAATCTTGTTGATATCTCTCAAAGAATCCGTAGCCAATAAAATTAGAGTTATATAATTTAGTAATTACATCGTTACTTAAGAATGATTTGTCCTTCACACTCTTGAGATATATCTCGTTCAAATCAACCTTTCCTTGATCTAAGATGTAATTCATAAACTCTTTAAAATGTTCATCTTGGAACATGTATGGTTTAATTCTTAACTTCTCTAGCAAGTCAGGTTTCTGTAATAGACTAGCGATGACAGTACTTTCAATTTCATATTGCTCGTT